TACTACTACATACTAGCTACTACAGACTACAGACTACTGCACTACTACATACTAGCTACTACAGACTACAGACTACTGTACTACTACATACTAGCTACTACAGACTACAGACTACTGTACTACCACTAGCTACTACAGACTACTGTACTACCACTAGCTACTACAGACTACAGACTACTACTAGCTACTACAGACTACAGACCACTGTACTACCACTAGCTACTACAGACTACACTACTACTACTAGCTACTACAGACTACAGACTACTATTAGCTACTACAGACTACTGTACTACCACTAGCTACTACAGACTACAGACTACTACTGCTACTACAGACTACTGTACTACTACATACTAGCTACTACAGACTACAGTACTACCACTAGCTACTACAGACTACAGACTACTGTACTACCACTAGCTACTACAGACTACTATTAGCTACTACAGACTACAGACTACTGTACTGTAGGCTACGGCTACTTGTAACTACTGGCTAAAAAAAACCCACATCTTGTCCTATCAGATGAAATGCTGGAGTTCTTTTTTCCCCAAATCTTCTTTAATTTCCAAAGAAAATGTTCCACAGTTCGGCACTCTTCGGGAGAAGTGGTCCCGGCCTAACTTTACAGAAATATACACAAAATCGGAAGCCAGGTAAAAAAGCCGGCTGAGTCTGAGTTGCCACGGTAAAAAGGACAACGACAAATTTACAATAGAACGAATTGGCTCTTAAGTACGGCTAGCCCGGGAGTCTAGCCATGGTAGACTGCCAGTCTAGCCGTACTAAGATCTAAGTTTGGCCCTATCGACTCGAACCTGTTGAGTACACGGGTCTCATTAGATCTAGATCTAGTAATTATTCAGGATTAAATAATGCAAGTCAGGAAGGCACCTTTTGATTTTATCTGAAATACAAATTTACGCTTTGTTAACTAAAAATTTCATTTACAATACAGCCATCAAGTACGGCTAGCCTAGCCGTCTAGCAAAGAAGTCTAGCCGTACTTAAGTATGGCTAGCAAACAAGTCTAGCCGTACTTATCTTAGGCCCTATTAACATTAGAAAACAGGAGGTTTAAAATACATGCACTGTCATTAAGGCACCTGGTTCCGTCTCAAATACAAATACTTTAGGTACTGCACACTAAAAATTTATTTATAATCAGTAGGCCTGTATTTATGGTCAGTCTATCCATCATATTAATAGGAAGAGGCTAGCTGTACTTAATGACGGCTAAACTGGCAGTCTAGGCGTACTTATTCTTAATATGATGGCCAGACTCACCATAACAAAAAAAAAATAGGCCTACTGAATTGTAAATATACATTTTTAGTGTGCAGTACTTAAAGTATTTGTATTTTTTAGACAAAACCAGGTGCCTTTATGACAGTGCATGTATTTCAAGCCTCCTGTTTTCTAATGTTAATAGGGTCTAAAAGATAAACTGTACGGCTAGACTTCTTGGCTAGCCATACTTAAGGACGGCTAGACAGTCAGGCTAGCTGTACTTAATATTGATGGCTGAATTGTAAATGAAATTTTAAGTTTGCAATGCCTAAAGTATTTGTATTTCAGACAAAACCAAAAGGTGCCTTACTGACTTGCATGTATTTGAACCTGAATAATTACTAGATCTAGATCTAATGAGACCTGTGTACTTAACAGGCTTGAGTCGATAGGGCCAAACCTAGATCTTGTACGGCTAGCCACTTCGTTAAGAATAAGTACGGCTGTCCCAGCTGTCTAGCCGTCATTAAGTACAGCTAGCCTCTTCCATAAATAATAGAAAGGGTCCAAACCCATCTTAGACTAGAATCTAGGCCTATTTTTCATTTTTCTGCACGATTTTAACATTTTTTAGTGTGCTGAGAACAATTTTGGAACTAAAAACTGTCACAAACCTCAAACCATAATTTTTGTGAACGAAGTGACTATCCCCAGTGACAACAGAACTCTTTTGCATTAAAAAATCAGAAGTCTTTGACTTTGAATTTTCATTCGAACTTCGAAACAATAGCGATGCAGATAGAAGTGGGCACGAAGTTCTCCTCTTTCAAAGAGTTTGAAGAGAAATTTGCAGCTTTTCAAAAGATCAAGATTCTAGGCCTAGATTCTATTCTAACGTGTACTGTAGACTCTCTTCTCACTTCAGTTCAGTACTTTTGTTCTCTTCTCTTACTTAGGCCTAGACTTGACCGTAGCCTAGATCTAGACCTTGAAGAAAGAAGAATCGGGAAGGATTTCCATAGACTGTCCTGTACCGTGGTCTCCAAAACCCGTATTAGATCTAGATCTACATGTCGACATGTACATATCGAGATCTAGATTCTAGATCTAAATTACGACTGAACAACAAGCAAGCATAGAAATTATCATTCCTTTCTTTAACAAAAAAATTCTTCCAATCACACCAGAATCTAGGCCTATTTTAGTTTAGTTGGATCTAGAATCTAGATCAAGGTCTACATTAGTTTAGTCGGATCTAGAATCTAGATCTAGATCTATATATCTAGGTCTACATTAGTTTCTAAGTCGGATCTAGAATCTAGATCTAGGTCTACATTAGTTTCTAAGTTGGATCTAGAATCTAGATCTAGGTCTACATTAGATATAGATCTAGTCTATTATTAAGTAACCCATCATCATCATGCCCATGTAGATCAATGTGGAAACATTAGGCTAGATCTAAAGGGCCTGTCTGTTCTCAGTGTCACTGGGAAAAGTTTCTTGCGAGACTGGGAACAATTCTGGCCTATCCCCAGTGTCACAGGAATAGACATGCGATTAAACGTAGAAGGACGCAAACTATTTTTAGGTAAGGCGGCCATTTTGTGAAGTCAGACCGGAACACCCCTCCGATCATGTGACTATATATATACAATGTAAATATATAGCTAACGGGATGGCACGACGCTTTGGTGCTATGTTTTTCCAGGAATACCGGTAATGTGATATGATGCAGAGCTCCGACACTGAATAGATCTTTTTATACGGTAGATCTAGAGGAAACTTTCAAAGAATGAATTCAATAGACGCTGAGAACCGGAAAATTAGGAAGCTCAAACCCGCCTAAGTCTCAATGAAGGAAATTGTTGACATTCGTACGGTGTCAATACTGAAATTCCGAAATGTTATTAACATACCCGGAAACACGTCATTCTATGCGGTACCTCCACTGCCTTCTTGTTAATATTACGGAGTGTCTATGTACACGATAACCAGGCACCTAGTCTCAATATCTACGTACACGGTAATCGGGCACCTAGTCTCAATATCTACGTACACTGTAACCGGGCACCTAGTCTCAGTATCTATGTACACGATAAACCGGAATGAAAATAAATCAATAATTTGTCCTGTGCTGTCACTTGCTGAAAAAAAAAGAAAGTCATACAAGCGTCTTGTTGGGCTCGCCATAGTGACCGGTCAGTGAAACTGAGCGTGCGCATCACATTGTGAGTAACGGTTGGGGTCACCAAAGTTCATTCAAAGCATAGGGCTCCGGAATGGGGGGATTATTGATTTTTTTTTCAAGGTACAGTCGGGGGAGGGCTGGGGATGAAGGAAACACTGGAATGACAAAAACTGAACTTGGGAGTTCTGAACTGCCCGGTTATCGTATGACACTGAGACTGCGGGCCTGGTTGCCGGTTACCGTGTACGTAGATATTGAGGCTACATGCCCGGTTACCGTGAGACTACGTACCCGGTTGCCGGTTACCGTGTACGTAGACACTGAGGCTAGGTGCCCGGTTACTGTGTGTACGTAGACACTCCGTTAATATTATAGTCTGTGGGTATCCCAGATGACATCACATTACTAAAATTGGTAAGATTGAAGAATGCCGGACCAGCGGACTGACTTTGCCTATGTCTCAACCTTAGGAATTCATAATTTCCCCGTTTTTAATATCTCTCAATGGAGAATCTCGGACCGGTAGATCTATTCGTTAAAATTTTGTCAGGGGGGAGACCCCCCTGAACCCCCTCCCCCCTCCTCCACCCCAACCACCCGCCCCACTTTCTCACGCAATAATGTACAAGTGGTCTGGTATTCTTCAATCTTCCCCTAAAATTAGCAGCCAATCAGAAAGAAGCGTCTTCTATGCTTAACTGCATGTCAGGAATAGTGCTTTCCGTTTGTGAATTTAGCAGGGGGGACCCCTGCACTGCACCCCCCTTTTTTTAAGGCCACCTCTATTCTCACCCGGAGTGAGAATAGTGCAGGCGAGTCTTGTGGCTATTCTCACCCGGTGCGCGTTCACCAAATTTCTACACTGTGAGGAAAAATTGTAGAATTCTGTGCAGTGAACAAACGTTCCATTTCAACTGTAGCCTACTAAAAGCGTACAATTTTGTCTGTGGGCAGTGGAGAGAGAGAGAAAAAGAGAGAGAGGAGTAGCGCGAGAATTTCCGGGCAAAACAAAATGGCGACCCGCGTAGTTCGGCTCGATTCGAAAAGTTAAATAGCCGTAGCATCTTTGTAGACAACCAAATTAATTTACTTTTGTGTTTTAACATCCTTTTTTAACTTTGTTTTGGTCAATTTGATCGTCCACACCGATAGACAGTATTCAGAAAGAGACAGAGAGAGAAAGAAGAGGGGAAGAGTTGATCTTGCGAGAACTTCCGGGCGGGTGAGAATAGCCGCTTTCTTTTTAAACTTAAACGACATCCGTTTTTTTATTTCGAATGTGTACGTACGCCTAAAGTAAATTTCTCTGGAGTTAGGCTGGGACTGGGATCACTTCTCCTGAAGAGAGCCAACAGTCCTGAGCCTACTAGATTAAGTGAGGAAACATCTAAAACGGGTATTCTGCTTACCACAGGGCGATTCGGTCCTTCGGGTAGTCCAGCCGCTCTATCAATCCAAGGAACCATGGGAGAGAATGCTCTTTATTTCTGACTAACGTCGCTATCAAGACAGTTGGCAAAAGAGAATCATCTTCAGCAAACTCCTCTGCGTGGCAGACACTGACTCTTCCATAGCTAAAACGGTTGAAATCATTAAACATAACCAATACAAGAATTAAACAAGTGCCGCTATACAAATGCCAACACGTCAAGCTGGGAGTTGCCATCTTTTCTGTTAACGGAAATGTCGGAAAGAAATACGTTCTTCAACTGAAGAGCTCTAACAGGGGTAGTCATTCCTGGTAATTTAATCTTATCTCAGTCTTATCTGCACCTGATGCTGTCCCTTGAAATACAAATGTAATGTATTACTGTATTATTATTATTATGATTATTATTATTATTGCCATCAATTAATAAGTGTTCTTTGTGTTGTTGTTTTTTGAACCTCGGCGTTCTTTTTTCTTGAACAACATCTTGCTTGTAACTCCTACGATGAGCTAAAAACTAGATCTTTACCCCTCCCCCTCCTACAATGTTTCTGTTTGTGACGATGACCGTTTGTCAAGACGGAAAAATAAATCTCGTTTTAATTTACCTACCACCACCACCAACTTCATTACCCCCCCCC